AATGGATGACAAAGACTTTCTCATCAGTATTTGTTGTAATGGATGACAAAGACTTTCTCATCAGTATTTGTTGTTATGGATGACTGAGACTTTCTCATCAGTATTTGTTGTAATGGGTGACAAAGACTTTCTCATCAGTATTTGTTGTTATGGATGTCTGAGACTTTCTCATCAGTATTTGTTGTAATGGATGACAAAGACTTTCTCATCAGTGTTTGTTGTAATGGGTGACAAAGACTTTCTCATCAGTGTTTGTTGTAATGGGTGACAAAGACTTTCTCATCAGTATTTGTTGTTATGGATGTCTGAGACTTTCTCATCAGTATTTGTTGTAATGGATGACAAAGACTTTCTCATCAGTGTTTGTTGTAATGGATGACAAAGACTTTCTCATCAGTGTTTGTTGTAATGGGTGACAAAGACTTTCTCATCAGTATTTGTTGTTATGGATGTCTGAGACTTTCTCATCAGTATTTGTTGTGATGGATGTCTGAGACTTTCTCATCAGTATTTGTTGTAATGGATGTCTGAGACTTTCTCATCGGTATTTGTTGTAATGGGTGACAAAGACTTTCTCATCAGTACTTGTTGTAATGGATGTCTGAGACTTTCTCATCAGTATTTGTTGTAATGGATGTCTGAGACTTTCTCATCGGTATTTGTTGTAATGGGTGACAAAGACTTTCTCATCAGTTTTTGTTGTAATGGATGACAAAGACTTTCTCATCAGTATTTGTTGTAATGGATGTCTGAGACTTTCTCATCAGTATTTGTTGTAATGGATGTCTGAGACTTTCTCATCGGTATTTGTTGTAATGGGTGACAAAGACTTTCTCATCAGTACTTGTTGTAATGGATGTCTGAGACTTTCTCATCAGTATTTGTTGTACAAGGTGACAAAGACTTTCTCATCAGTGTTTGTTGTGATGGATGTCTGAGACTTTCTCATCAGTATTTGTTGTACTAGGTGACAAAGACTTTCTCATCAGTATTTGTTGTTATGGATGTCTGAGACTTTCTCATCAGTGTTTGTTGTGATGGATGTCTGAGACTTTCTCATCAGTACTTGTTGTAATGGATGTCTGAGACTTTCTCATCAGTATTTGTTGTAATGGGTGACAAAGACTTTCTCATCAGTGTTTGTTGTGATGGATGTCTGAGACTTTCTCATCAGTATTTGTTGTAATGGATGTCTGAGACTTTCTCATCGGTATTTGTTGTAATGGGTGACAAAGACTTTCTCATCAGTTTTTGTTGTAATGGGTGACAAAGACTTTCTCATCAGTTTTTGTTGTACTAGGTGACAAAGACTTTCTCATCAGTATTTGTTGTAATGGATGTCTGAGACTTTCTCATCAGTGTTTGTTGTAATGGATGACAAAGACTTTCTCATCAGTATTTGTTGTAATGGATGTCTGAGACTTTCTCATCGGTATTTGTTGTAATGGGTGACAAAGACTTTCTCATCAGTTTTTGTTGTAATGGGTGACAAAGACTTTCTCATCAGTATTTGTTGTAATGGATGTCTGAGACTTTCTCATCGGTATTTGTTGTAATGGGTGACAAAGACTTTCTCATCAGTTTTTGTTGTAATGGATGACAAAGACTTTCTCATCAGTGTTTGTTGTAATGGATGTCTGCGACTTTCTCATCAGTATTTGTTGTTATGGATGTCTGAGACTTTCTCATCAGTATTTGTTGTAATGGATGTCTGAGACTTTCTCATCAGTATTTGTTGTAATGGATGTCTGAGACTTTCTCATCAGTATTTGTTGTAATGGATGACAAAGACTTTTTCATCAGTATTTGTTGTAATGGATCACAAAGACTTTCTCATCAGTTTTTGTTGTAATGGGTGACAAAGACTTTCTCATCAGTATTTGTTGTAATGGATGACAAAGACTTTCTCATCAGTATTTGTTGTAATGGGTGACTGAGACTTTCTCATCAGTATTTATTGTAATGGATGACAAAGACTTTCTCATCAGTTTTTTGTTGTAATGGGTGACAAAGACTTTCTCATCAGTATTTGTTGTAATGGATGACAAAGACTTTCTCATCAGTATTTGTTGTAATGGATGACAAAGACTTTCTCATCAGTATTTGTTGTTATGGATGACTGAGACTTTCTCATCAGTATTTGTTGTAATGGGTGACAAAGACTTTCTCATCAGTATTTGTTGTTATGGATGTCTGAGACTTTCTCATCAGTATTTGTTGTAATGGATGACAAAGACTTTCTCATCAGTGTTTGTTGTAATGGGTGACAAAGACTTTCTCATCAGTGTTTGTTGTAATGGGTGACAAAGACTTTCTCATCAGTATTTGTTGTTATGGATGTCTGAGACTTTCTCATCAGTATTTGTTGTAATGGATGACAAAGACTTTCTCATCAGTGTTTGTTGTAATGGATGACAAAGACTTTCTCATCAGTGTTTGTTGTAATGGGTGACAAAGACTTTCTCATCAGTATTTGTTGTTATGGATGTCTGAGACTTTCTCATCAGTATTTGTTGTGATGGATGTCCGAGACTTTCTCATCAGTATTTGTTGTAATGGATGTCTGAGACTTTCTCATCGGTATTTGTTGTAATGGGTGACAAAGACTTTCTCATCAGTACTTGTTGTAATGGATGTCTGAGACTTTCTCATCAGTATTTGTTGTAATGGATGACAAAGACTTACTCATCAGTATTTGTTGTAATGGATGACAAAGACTTTCTCATCAGTATTTGTTGTAATGGATGTCTGAGACTTTCTCATCAGTATTTGTTGTACTAGGTGACAAAGACTTTCTCATCAGTATTTGTTGTGATGGATCACAAAGACTTTCTCATCAGTATTTGTTGTAATGGATGACAAAGACTTTCTCATAAGTATTTGTTGTAATGGATGTCTGAGACTTTCTCATCAGTATTTGTTGTTATGGATGTCTGAGACTTTCTCATCAGTATTTGTTGTAATGGATGTCTGAGACTTTCTCATCGGTATTTGTTGTAATGGATGACAAAGACTTTCTCATCAGTATTTGTTGTGATGGATGACAAAGACTTTCTCATCAGTATTTGTTGTGATGGATGTCTGAGACTTTCTCATCAGTACTTGTTGTAATGGATGTCTGAGACTTTCTCATCAGTATTTGTTGTACAAGGTGACAAAGACTTTCTCATCAGTGTTTGTTGTGATGGATGTCTGAGACTTTCTCATCAGTATTTGTTGTACTAGGTGACAAAGACTTTCTCATCAGTTTTTGTTGTTATGGATGTCTGAGACTTTCTCATCAGTGTTTGTTGTGATGGATGTCTGAGACTTTCTCATCAGTATTTGTTGTAATGGATGTCTGAGACTTTCTCATCAGTATTTGTTGTAATGGATGACAAAGACTTTCTCATCAGTACTTGTTGTAATGGATGTCTGAGACTTTCTCATCAGTATTTGTTGTAATGGGTGACAAAGACTTTCTCATCAGTGTTTGTTGTTATGGATGTCTGAGACTTTCTCATCAGTATTTGTTGTAATGGATGTCTGAGACTTTCTCATCAGTATTTGTTGTAATGGATGTCTGAGACTTTCTCATCAGTATTTGTTGTAATGGATGTCTGAGACTTTCTCATCGGTATTTTGTTGTAATGGATGTCTGAGACTTTCTCATCAGTATTTGTTGTAATGGATGACAAAGACTTTCTCATCAGTGTTTGTTGTAATGGGTTACTAAGACTTGCTCATCAGTATTTGTTGTTATGGATGACTGAGACTTTCTCATCAGTATTTGTTGTAATGGGTGACAAAGACTTTCTCATCAGTATTTGTTGTAATGGATGTCTGAGACTTTCTCATCAGTGTTTGTTGTGATGGATGTCTGAGACTTTCTCATCAGTATTTGTTGTAATGGATGTCTGAGACTTTCTCATCAGTATTTGTTGTAATGGGTGACAAAGACATTCTCATCAGTATTTGTTGTAATGGATGTCTGAGACTTTCTCATCAGTTTTTGTTGTAATGGATGACAAAGACTTTCTCATCAGTATTTGTTGTTATGGATGTCTGAGACTTTCTCATCAGTATTTGTTGTAATGGATGACAAAACTTTCCCATCAGTATTTGTTGTAATGGGTGACAAAGACTTTCCCATCAGTATTTGTTGTAATGGATGACAAAGACTTTCTCATCAGTATTTGTTGTAATGGATGACAAAGACTTTCTCATCAGTATTTGTTGTAATGGATGACAAAGACTTTCTCATCAGTATTTGTTGTAATGGATGACAAAGACTTTCTCATCAGTGTTTGTTGTAATGGATGACAAAGACTTTCTCATCAGTATTTGTTGTAATGGATGTCTGAGACTTTCCCATCAGTATTTGTTGTAATGGATGACAAAGACTTTCTCATCAGTATTTGTTGTAATGGATGACAAAGACTTTCTCATCAGTATTTGTTGTAATGGATGACAAAGACTTTCTCATCAGTATTTGTTGTAATGGATGACAAAGACTTTCTCATCAGTGTTTGTTGTAATGGATGACAAAAACTTTCCCATCAGTATTTGTTGTAATGGGTGACAAAGACTTTCGCATCAGTATTTGTTGTAATGGGTGACAAAAACTTTCCCATCAGTATTTGTTGTAATGGATGACAAAGACTTTCTCATCAGTATTTGTTGTAATGGATGACAAAGACTTTCTCATCAGTGTTTGTTGTAATGGGTGACTAAGATTTTCTCCCCAGTATTTGTTGTAATCGATCTTATATGTGTATGTTCATCTCCTGAGTTTCATAAATGTCCATTGTCTGTGTCGTTATTCCAAGCTTTTTGTCCGTCGGGAAAGTTTCTGAGTTGTAGAGGTCATAAAGTGCCGATTCAACAATAACTTGCAAATAATAGACTTGGGCGATTTTCACAAATTCGTGTACTTGTAAACTGATTTCCTCCGAGGGTGTTAATATTCATATTATGTTAATCCAACATGTTTATATATTAAGTAAAGAGAAATAACTCACCTAGTTTGTACTCCAACATACACCACCCAATACCTCCTTCACTGCAAAAGAACCCGAGTTATCTGTCGTAGTTTTCACGAGTAAGTGTACTCCTGCAGTCGCGTCCTATCATAAAGTGACCAATCATGTGAGATACACTACTGACCAAACAGAAGTTGCCCTTCAGTCCCCTGGACCATGTTTCTGCTGCAGATTGGGCAGATGATTATGGTGGACAAAAGGCGTGGCATGACAAATGGCATTAAATACTTGTTTTCTTGTGTTTGTCTTTTTTTGTTAATGACTGCTAACAAGTATGGCTGAAAACACGTGCGGTATTATGGCCACGTGACCAGTTGCACGTAAAAAAAATGTTTTGCCACTTTGTGATTGTGATGACACAAAAACGGGTGTTATCTGAAGACAATGCGTGGCCATTACTGTATAAATACACAATAAGGGCCCACAATGATAACTGGTCAAAATGTTAAAAATTTAGGATTGTGAAGTTTTTAATTTGGTTCAGTATATTTTAGTGTAAATTTTTAGTCCTCAGTATTAATGCAAAGTGTTTTTGTATATTTTTGTATACCGTATAAGGCATACTGGGTGCTTTCTTAAGGCAGTAACAACGAACCGGAGTGCAGGCTGCACTAACATGGAGTGCACAGTTTCACACAAGTTTAATTTCACTTTCCTTCGTTTACATCTCGCCATGGTATTATTGCCCTTCTTGCGAATTATGCATGGCATATCTGATGTGGGAGGAAAGCCCGACGTCATGCAGGTCTCAGACGTTTGTGTAGCTATCAGTGAGTGAGTGAGTGAGTTTAACGCCGCTTTTAACAGTATTCGAGTTATATACTTCCTGCCTGAAGTGATGCAGGTCTAAGACGTTTACCACTTCGGTGAAACCAACGAGCACGGGTATGGTGCTGACAAACCTAGAAACCTAATCGGGGCGAACCGGGTTTCGAATCAACAATCATAGGTTTCTGGCGTGCCCAAGGGCCGCAACTCTTCACAGCAGATCAAGGCGTCTTAGACGACTGGGCCACCTGGGCCACATTTCCATTAATGCTTCAATCATAAGACATAATTACCAAACGGTAGTTATATTTCCATTTTCACCCATTAGTTCAAGATTAAATAAATCATTGATGAAAATACACCTATTGCCCCCACATCGACTATGATGATCTTCTTTTCAAACTGAATTTTTTCGTACTGAAAACATCTTCTCTGAAATTGCCAGGCAGATGAAGCTTGATTGTTGCATGTATGCTTCTTCTGGGGATGATTTATATTAAATATCAATTCTGGCAGCAACATTTGTCAAGTTTCCTCCTATTTGTTGTCAACAAATATAAGTTGTAGTAGGGTCACTCGGGGTATATGGTGTTTTGTCGCCCGAGTGATCCTGCTGCAACGAATTTATCTGTACCTATGTGACATTGTAAAAGGATTAACACAAATTCAAAATTGACAGAAAACAGTAGTTCAAGTGAGCTGCGATCAACTTGTGCTACATGTATGTCAAGTGACTTTAATTGACTCCGCGTTTTGCTTTGAGGCGAGGTATAAGGGATTTATTCTGCCTGTCAGAAGTCCGCGTGCAGCATGCTTTGCTCGCGGTGGGGTATAAGACATTTATTCCTCCGCTGCGAAACTTACTACCCTCCAGGATCACGAGGACAAATCAGATCTCATCATTCTGATATGGAGGTACATGAATGATAAAGTGGATTATATTCATTAAAAGTATACACATATCCCTAGCTTAGTTCTATTTCTTATTTTTGTACTATTTCACTGACACCAGAGCAACGAAATTACCATTGTATGCATGTAGATGAGGAGTATGTATAAGTATGAATTTACAAATTCTGAGCCTCACATGGAAAGACCGGTCTGGTACAAGCAGCCACACACACAGACACACGCACGTGCATGCACGTCGCTATACAAGTGCAATAAATCTTGGACGCGACGTTAAACCCCATTTCACCTCACCTCACTTTTGTCGACGATGATGAAGGGATTGTTCCCCTGGAAAAGAAACTTTTAGTGTTAACGTTGTCACTATGACACTTTGGCGAGTAAACAATAGGTTCACACATTGAGAGGGGTTAAAAATCCAAGTCAAACGGGACAAGAAGATTTTTAATGGTTGATAATTATTTTTGAATTATTGAAATGATACTATTATATGTGTTAAGATAATCCAGCTCAATTCAATAGTGGTGACAAATACAGACATTGATTGTTTGGAAAATATTTTTATTTATAGGGCGTGTTTACAATTGATCGATTGATACTTTGTGGATGTCGATGACTTTCACTGCCTAGATTTTACAAGAAATAGAATATACATTACAGTGCATTATAAATTAATGTGAACAGACTTGGAAACACACAATATATATCTTCATGTCATACACTTGTCAACACGTGTCACATATCACATGCTATAACACACATGACATATCAAATAACACATTACACACATAACATCCCTATAACTTTGGAAGTGTATGATATTATATCTCCACCTTGGTTGATATTATTTCCATGCTGACAAAGGTCAAAAATGAACTGGAACTTGTGTAAAGAGCACCTCAACTTTTGATAATATGTCTAATGAACTTGTTTTTGAGCGTAGCAGAAAATACTTCGTGAAGTACATGACAAGTGTGATTTTCAGTTAAAATAGTATACTTTCAGATAAAAGAAAGCTGTTCGGCAAATATGTAGAGAAGTCGAAGATATTTCAGTTTGTAACTTGAAGAACTATGGGATGAAAACAATTGAAAAAATTGGGAAAAGAGTTGGTCGAGAAGGGTGACTTTGATGATCGTGGTCTATCCAATGCGACTGTCGGGCTGATGGTGGTGCAGGTGATGGGATTGTTGGGTTGATGGTGGTGCAGGTGATGGGATGATTGTTTGGTTGATGGTGGTGCATGTGATGGGATTGTTGGGTTGATGGTGGTGCAGGTGATGGGATTGTTTGGTTGATGGTGGTGCATGTGATGGGATTGTTGGGTTGATGGTGGTGCAGGTGATGGGATTGTTGGGTTGATGGTGGTGCAGGTGATGGGATTGTTGGGTTGATGGTGGTGCAGGTGATGGGATGATTGTTTGGTTGATGGTGGTGCAGGTGATGGGATTGTTAGGTTGATGGTGGTGCAGGTGATGGGATTGTTGGGTTGATGGTGGTGCAGGTGATGGGATTGTTGGGTTGATGGTGGTGCAGGTGATGGGATTGTTGGGTTGATGGTGGTGCAGGTGATGGGATGATTGTTTGGTTGATGGTGGTGCAGGTGATGGGATTGTTAGGTTGATGGTGGTGCAGGTGATGGGATTGTTGGGTTGATGGTGGTGCAGGTGATGGGATTTTTGGGTTGATGGTGGTGCAGTTGATGGGATGATTGTTGGGTTGATGGTGGTGCAGGTGATGGGATTGTTGGGTTGATGGTGGTGCAGGTGATGGGATGATTGTTGGGTTGATGGTGGTGCAGGTGATGGGATTGTTGGGTTGATGGTGGTGCAGGTGATGGGATGATTGTTTGGTTGATGGTGGTGCAGGTGATGGGATTGTTTGGTTGATGGTGGTGCAGGTGATGGGATGATTGTTTGGTTGATGGTGGTGCAGGTGATGGGATGATTGTTTGGTTGATGGTGGTGCAGGTGATGGGACTGTTGGGGCTGATGGTGGTGAAGGTGATGGGACTGTTGGGCTGATGGTGACGTAGGTGATGGTACTGTTAGGTTGATGGTGGTGTAGGAGATGGGACTGTTGGGCTGATGGTGACGTAGGTGATGGTACTGTTATGTTGATGTTTGTGTAGGTGATGAGACTGTTGGGTTTATGGTGGTGTAGGTGATGGGACTGTTGGGTTGATGGTGGTGTAGGTGATGGGACCTTTTGGTTGATGGTGGTGTAGGTTATGTGACTGTTGTGTTGTTGGTGGTGTAGGTGATGTGACTGTTTGGTTGATGGTGGTGTAGGTCATGGGACTGTTGTGTTGATGGTGGTGTATGTGATGGGACCTTTTGGTTGATGGTGGTATAGGTAATGGGACTGTTGGGTTGATGGTGGTGTATGTGATGGGCCCTTTTGGTTGATGGTGGTGTAGGTGATGTGACTGTTGTGTTGATGGTGGTGTAGGTGATGTGACTGTTGGGCTGATGCCGGTGTAGGAGAAGGGACTGTTGGGTTGATGGTGGTGTATTTGATGGGACTGTTGGGCTGATGGTGGTGTAGGTGATGGGACTGTTGGGCTGATGGTGGTGTAGGTGATGGGACTGTTGGGCTGATGGTGGTGTAGGAGATGGGACTGTTGGGCTGATGGTGGTGTAGGTGATGGGACTGTTGGGCTGATGGTGGTGTAGGAGATGGAACTGTTGGGCTGATGGTGGTGTAGGTGATGGGACTGTTGGGCTGATGGTGGTGTAGGTGATGGGACTGTTGGGTTGATGGTGGTGTAGGTGATGGGACTGTTGGGCTGATGGTGGTGTAGGTGATGGTACTGTTGGGCTGATGGCGGTGTAGGAGATGGGACTGTTGGGTTGATGGTGGTGTATGTGATGGGACTGTTGGGCTGATGGTGGTGTAGGTGATGGGACTGTTGGGCTGATGGTGGTGTAGGTGATGGGACTGTTGGGCTGATGGTGGTGTAGGTAATGTGGCTGTTGGGCTGATGATGGTGTAGGTGATGGGACTGTTGGGCTGATGGTGGTGTAGGAGATGGAACTGTTGGGCTGATGATGGTGTAGGTAATGGGACTGTTGGGCTGATGATGGTGTAGGTGATGGGACTGTTGGGTTGATGGTGGTGTAGGTGATGAGACTGTTAGGTTGATGGTGGTGTAGGAGATAGGACTGTTTGGCTGATGGTGACGTAGGTGATGGTACTGTTAGGTTGATGTGTGTGTAGGTGATGGGACTGTTGGGCTGATGGTGGTGTAGGAGATGGAACTGTTGGGCTGATCGTGGTGTAGGTGATGGGACTGTTGGGCTGATGGTGATGTAGGTGATGAGACTGTTGGGTTTATGGTGGTGTAGGTGATGGGACTGTTGGGCTGATGGTGGTGTAGGTG